TTCTTTGGTTTTACTAGCAGTTTATTGAACCCCTTTGTTTTCTAAATCTGTCTTTCCTTAAATTGTGAATTTTTCAGCCACTATTCAGATAAACTCTCTTCCCCTTTCTTGTCTCTTCTTCAATCCTCATAATGCCTGTATTTTTTTCTGCTTGATGGTGTTCCATAAGTCCTCTGTCCACATCTTTTTTCCCTTTATTCCTCAAATGATAATTTCAAATGGCTTGTTTTTAAGCTCATTGATTATTCTGCCTGCTTAAGTTTGCTATTAAACTCCTTTAGTGAAATTTGCAATTTAGTTTATTTCTCACATCTGGAATTTCTGTTTGGCTCTCTAATAAATTCACCAGGTTTCATGTGATCTATCTGATTATAGATACATTCAAGGGATCCATCTCTACTTTGAAAAAATGAATTAGTAAAATTTCTTTTTTAAATATTTGATAGAATTTATTGTTAAAACAATTTGAAATTTTTCTATTTGCTTTTTTGCATTCATTTCCATTCACTATTTAGCGGCTCTTTATGGAGAAGTAGTTTTGTTCCTGGCATAGTTTTGAAATGAGATGTTAGTGATCAAAGTGGACAAGAATTTCAGCCTTCATGGGCTTACATGCTAATAGCAGAGAAAAACAGTAGATAAAACATGGTAACCGAATATTGAATTGTGTTTTAGGAAGTTTTAAGTTCTACCGAAATTGAGCAGAATAAAGGGGACTAGGAGTTGGGAAACAGAATGGGGTAGAGAAGGGCAAGTAAAGGTTTTTAGGTAAAATGGCCCCATAGGACTCACTGAGCAGGTGATGGGTTGTGTAAAACTTGAAGGAAGTTAGAGAGTGAACCATGTAACTAATGGAGAAACAGGAAACAGAAGACAGCCCAATACAGGATCAGCTCTGCCCCCTTTCTTTAATAGTGATCACAAAGTTTGTTTATTTTATTAAAGAATTAAGTGAAAGTTTACAGAAACTGAGAGAATAGTTATCGAGATGAATATTAAGATCCTATAATAATAAACCTTTTTATTATATTATGGTCATATTTTTTCTTAAGAAATAATCTCCAAAGCTCAATATATAACAAATCAATTAAAAAGTATGTCTTCATTTTTAAAATGTAGCTTTAGAAATACATTTTCAAATTTATGATAAACATAAATCAAAATAAATTATATATATATATATGCATGTATATAAATTTGTTGGCTTATATGAACTTAATTATGTGTTTTTAATTGTATGAATAGAGAATTATTTGTTTACAACTGCTAAAGATTAGACCAAAAATGAACATTCATTGTTCTGTAGAATGTATTGTTACATACAATGGCCAATAGATAATTAGTTGTTTACTAACTGATGTTTTAGTATTAAGAAATAAACGGTTTAGTGGTGAGAAAATATAGTTTGAGTCAGAAGAGTTCTTTTTAGTATAATTATTAACATTCTTAAATGTATGGTTTTGAAGAAGTCATTTTAAGTGACTTCATTTTGCTAGCTTGTTGAGAGTTGTTTTCGTTTTAGTGGGATTTCATTAGGTATATTCTGTTTCTGAGTTTCTGTATTTCTGTGATTATTGTTCCATAGTTTTATCATAGTGATGCACTACTTTAAATATTTGTCTCATTAAATGTTCTTAAAGTGAAAATTTACATTTTTTGTCCAGTTTTTATATTGCTTAGTCTCTGTATGTTTCCCTGAGCACCTCAGAATTCCTTGCTTCCTCAGCCATTCTGCTATAGCACTTCATGCATATTTCTAGTACCACTTTTCATAATATAGTATGGTTACATATTTATTAACCTATCCATGAGTGGCCTAACTTTGTATTCCCCAAAGTTATTAAAATTCTTTGGACACTTTTGATGTTTAGTCATTTTGTTGGATTTTAATGCTCGTAAATTGAAAAACTAACAGTTAATTTCTAATAGTTAATATCTGAGAAGTGAAACGGGTTCAGTAACATTCAAATCGAATGGCAGTATTTCATGTAATGAGTGTTTCTCCTGGTTGAAAACATCTATTTCAGACATTTAACAAGGTATAATTGATCTCTTCGTTTAAAATGTATGTTATGCAGATGACATAAATGCTTATTTGAATGAGAAATTATTTTGTCACTGATTATGAAATCATTAATGGGGATGATTATTACTGATTACCTTTATGCATTTTGGATGAAAGGCACAAATTTCATAAAGATTAAGTGTTCTAAGAACCATTCAGCAGTGTACTGATACAATTTTTAGAACACATTCATAGCCATTTACTAGATGTTGCACCCTTGGGTATAATTAATCAGAATATGATCCTTAGTGTGCTTTAAATTCCCAGATTCCTTTCACTTCTTCATAATCATTATTTCTCTACCCTACTTTAAAAAGCCTTCATTTGAAGAACCATGTTTATTCATTTGTTCAACATCAGTGTTCCATGCAGAGATAAGCATTATTAGATTTGGAAGTAAACGTGACAGATAAGGTCTCTGCTCTTAGCATTAGTGGTAAACAAACGTATGTTCATTTAACTAGTATTTTCTGATTGCGTACCATGTGCTAGCCATAATCAGAACTATGGATACAGTAGTAGAAATAGAAAAGGCCTGCCTCCTTGCATAGCTTACATAAACATGGAAGGATAACAGGATAAAGGAGAAGGCTAACTTTATGAAAGTTGGTCAGAAAAAGCCTAAGAAAGTCATATTTGAGCTGAACATAAAATAATGTGAAAGAGGAATCAAAGAAAAAGGAATCAAAGCCAAGTGGCAATTACCAGCGATAGAAATGGACTGTTTCATGCACATTGCTTTGTAGTTTTAGAAGTGAGATGATTAGGAAATTTATTATTGCATCCTTTTTAACAGTTGATAATGAAATTAGGTCTTCATCTGTGAAAGTTTATGGGAAAGAGTGGTCTACAAAGGAGAAAAAGACCATACTACAAAGTAGTAACTCCAGAGAAGGAGGCAGATCCCTCTCTGGAATGGGAAGGGGAAGGGAATGTCAAGCCAGGAAGTGCAGTAAAATCTCTAAACAGTGTTAAGGATCCACATATGGCTTGTTAGTCAAAATGGTTGTGTGAGTTTTTCCATCTACAAGCATAGGTGTGAGGAAGATGCAGGGTCTAACAAGACTTTTGCTTAGGAAATAGTGGTGGAGAAAGAGAAAAGGAATTGCAGTAATGTAAGCTAGAAGGGCAAGTATGGGGAAAGGGAAAATGAATTGGGAGTGAAGTCTGAAGAGGGTTGACCATAAATCAGGTGGTTTTTGATGGGTTGGTGCTGGAATGAGGTTAAAAGTTAATAGGGTATCACACAAGTAAATGTCATTGTTTGATACTATGGAATATTAATACATAGTCTCTTAATAGATATGTTTCTTTGTATACAAACACAACTGAAATCAGACTTTTAACATTAAAAGAAGTGTGCATTTGAATAACTGACAAAATGTAAAGGTTACTGAAAGTATGGAAAGCACTTTGTTTTTTTTAACCCTCTTTTGTAATTGTATAGAAATAGTTAATAGAATTGAATAAAAATACAGAAAGTTAAGAGCATTACTTGGGATGAAACATGGGATCTTAGGTTATCTATAATCTCCTTTGCAAAGTCACTTGACATTATTGGCCTTATTCCCTTTATTCATTGATTAACTATATTTCAACAGTGTACAAGGTGCTAGGCATACAGTGATCATATCGTGTATTATCTATGCAGATAATATCTATGATAAATTACATGTGGTATCATAATGATACCAAATGTTAATGTTACTGATAACAACATCAGTAAATGACTTATAGACTAGTGTTTTAGTTTACTAATTAGTAATCATTTTATCACTGTGCTGGGTGGTGAGTGTATATGAACGATGTCAGAGGGCACTGCAGAGCACTGTTGAAACATACAGAGATGATATGCAACTCATAGGCTGATGGAGTGTGGTCACATATGGATCAACTGATGTCCATGCTGAGACCTTAAAGATAAGTGATACTAGAATTCAGTAAGGAAGTCAGGGGCAAAAGAGGGAGGGGATGTGTATATATTAAGTTCCTCCAGCAAAAAAGAAAGAATGAGATGGATCCAGAGTAGCTAGCATGTCTTGAAGTTGCTGGTACAAAATACCAACAACCAAAATGAAGGAAGGAAAGGTTTACTTAGCTTAGGAGGTGTCAGTCCATGATCAGCTGGCTCCCAGAAAGCCAGCATGGCACTGGGGCAACACTTCAGGGCAGCAGCCAGCAGAAGTAGAGAAAAAGGGGGAAGAGAAAGACTCTTTATTTCCCTTATATTGTAAGTAAGCTAACCCTCCCCAACCTAGGGCAAGTGTAGCAATCACACCACCAATCCCAGCACTATACAACAAACTAGTCACAAATGCTAGACTCAGCAGCCCTAGAAAGGCCCACCTCCCATGACTGCGTGAGGCTTTGGGGGGACATTTAAACAAACCACAACGTGGGTCATAATGTGAATGAGCAATGTTGAGACGTGAGACTAGGAAATTAAGCAAAGGCTATATTTTAAAGGACTTGGTAGAATGTGGTAAGAACAGTTTAACCTAAAAGCAGTAAAAGGACCCATTGTTGGATATTACACAAAGCTTTAACATAAAACACTATCACTTATTAAGTGTAAGGTTAGCTTATGTGAAAAAATTAAATTTTATTTTCTCTAAGGTTATTGTAAGATTCTTCAATTTATGGTAATACATTTAAAGAAGTAAAAATGAAAATGTCTTTAATCTGAAAAGAATTAACAATTAATGAAACTTTATTAAACATAGAAATAAAGCCCTGCTTAATAAAGCATCATTAAACTCATATTAATCTGTTTGCAAAAAATAAATTAAAACTTTCTGTAACTCTAAAGTACATTTAATTACTTTTGTATATTTTCTATTATATTAATGAAAATACTATATAATTTCCAATGAGTTGTATGTGCCATTTAATATCCCTAATTGAAAGTAGATGAAACTATACTTTTTCTCTCCAGTGATTTAAACCTTTGAGATGTTCCCATTAACTGGAAAAACAGTCAATTTTTCTCATTTTCCTGATCCATCTGATACATGGGAAATAACGGAAACAATTGGCAAAGGAACTTATGGGAAAGTTTTTAAAGTACTGAATAAGAAAAATGGCCAAAAAGCAGCAGTCAAAATTCTGGATCCGGTTCACGTAAGCCACTGTTTTCCCCCTAATTAAATTTATTTTTATCTGTATTGAACAGTTTAAAACTTTGTAAGCATCTTATAGTGAGTCATTTATTATAGTGTCTTTCTAAAACAAGGTACAATTTGAAAAAAATGTTAAATTCTACTTGTTTGATTTTCTTAGTTTATGTAAAGCTTTGCCTGTAAAATAAAGGCAGTTTGCATACTTTACATATATAATAAAGACACCTAATACAAATGAATATATGCAAAGGCACATAAATAATGCAGGTCTCAGTAGCTCAGTACTTCATTCGGTATTACTTTGGAATTTTAAAAAATTATAGAAATATAAACACATAGTCAAGAAGTAATCATAATTGTAATCTTACTCAGATTTCCTTTTCTTCTCACATTTACTTAAGCTTGGGCTAGAATTTCTCTTAAGCTAAAGTGAAGAGGTTTTTTTAAAGCTAAATTTTCTTCAGAAAAGGGAAATCAATTTTCAGATTTACTTAATTGTTCCCAACGCTGAAATGGTGATGCTTTGTAAGAGCGTGAGTTTTCTCATCGTGAAGTTGAATTGCCTGTTCAGGTCCTAAAGTTTCTGCTTCAAGTGAGGCTCCAGTCATGGCTCCCCCACTTTCACAGAAAGTTGTAACAAAGAAAAGCACCAAAGTTTCCCCTGTTATGACTGAAAATTTTATTTTCTCGGACTGATTTTGACTTGGCATTGAAGTCGGGACCTTGACCCGCAAGGCAGGCCACCAACGTCTGAGCTACACTTGCAGCCCCATTTTCTGTGAATGAGGACTGGCCGTTTGGGCATATGTTCAGGAGACTATGCAGGGAGATACTTGGTTCTCCCTAGCACTTACGAAAGTCAGAAAGAGCTCAGTACCACACGCTCCCCCAGTTTCTATTGAGAGTAACTCCTCCAATCCCAAGACTCTGGCACTCTGTGGAAACAATGGAAACATGGCAGGAGGGAAAGAAGGGAAAGTGTGCCATGAGGCTATCAGCGTGGTGGGGCCTTACCCCAGCCTATCCACTAGCCAGCTGCAGATGCTGCAAGAGGTTCCCGGGCTTGCTTTTTTGTTTCAGTCACCAGTAAATACACACACACACACATTCTTGTGAATGGGTGTTAGTTACCTAAAGGTTATATTCCATTTTTTTTTCACTTTTTTGAAGAGAAAAAACGTATTGCTTGTATGACTGATTTTTAAAGCTTCTAAAAATCTACTATTCCAAAGGAAAAAAGTAAACTAGCTCTCTAGTGCTGAATGTTTTTATTTGAAGTCAGTGTTCTGTCATTGTAACCAAGTTGCTAACACAATGAAAGCAGCACCTGCATATAAATAAAAGCAAAATTCAATTGCGTTTAAAAACAGCCTTTTATTTTTTCCTTCTAAAATTCAATTAAATTAATATAACTTGAGATGCATTTGATTGGTACAAAAGTCATAATCTGTCTCCATAATGTTAAAGAAAATTTCAGTGTATGGTACTACACAAGGTAAAAACTTACGATTATATTTTAACAAAATTAAATACTTTGTTTGATACTCTAATATGTTTATTTGGCATTATTCATATTTTTTCTCACAATTCTCTTATGATCTTTTGAAAATAGGATATTGATGAAGAAATTGAGGCAGAATATAACATTCTAAAATCACTTTCTGATCACCCTAATGTTGTTAAATTTTATGGAATTTATTTTAAGAAGGATAAAATCAATGGAGATAAACTATGGCTGGTTCTTGAGGTAAGTGTTCAAGTATTACTTGTGTGAGTAAAAATTGGTGTGTGATCTTGGAATGACTTAATTTTATGTAACACCAACACCATAAAAAACTTTTCCTCAGTAGAATGTTGTGTCTAGTTAGGACCTTGTTGTCTTAGTATGTACACCAGGAAGTTTAAAATCTACAAGACTATTAATAATTAAAAGGACATGAGTCCACTATGGAAAAGAAGTGAAGAAATATATTAATTTTTTTGCAGGAAAATGAAAAAGTTACCAGATAGATTTTATTGTCATTTAATTATTCATCTATATTTTGTTCAGTTAATATGTGAGTGAGGCTCTGGCCCAGGTGCCAGGGTATAAGAGAAAATTAATGTTAAGTGAGACTTCAGTAGACAAAAATAGCTGCAATTTTCTTTTACTGTCTCTATTGACTGTTAATGACTTAAACTACAGAGTTAGGTTTTTATATTTATGAGGAAGGAAATTTACTAAAAATGGTGTTGATGTTGAATAAGTTGTCAAACAGAAGCTATGGAGTTTGCCTATTCAAGTCTTGAGAGTAAATTTTCTTAGTGTTTGCCAATCTTCTCTAGAGGAGGAGTACTAAGTTCCTCAACAAGGTGACTGCAATCTTAGGAGAATTCACTTTTTTGGATTTTCAAGAAACCACCAGGTTCAGTTGTCTGGTGAGAGTTGCTTTCTACTTCCCAGATGGAGCTGGGGGCTCACATGGTGAATGGCAGAAAGGCAAGAGGGCCTCATACTATGTGAGGCCTTTAATCCTATTCACTCTTCATGGCCAATCATCTTTGAAGGCCCCACTTTTCAGTGCTTTCTCATTGGCCATTAGGTTTCAAAACCAGAATTTTGGAGACAACACATTCAGACTATAACAGATTCAATAATCATGTGTAAGTTTCATCATTTTCCTACTTCATTATTTTCTACTATAGTTTTAAAGTGATTCTACAAATAAATTACTGTAGAATACTTGAAACTAGGAAACACCATTCTCAACATTTAACATTTACCTTGTTTTTGTGTAGTTAAAGTGCTTGACAATATTACTCATGAAATTACTCTATTTTTTCACCTAATAAAATTTGAAATACACCCTGACCATTTTTGGTTCTTTCAATGCAAATAAAACTTTGGTTAATAAATAATGGGTATTATTAACAGTGATGGAACTGGAGATCATTATGTAAGAGGAAATAACCCGGGCATAGAAAAACAAGCACTGCATGATCTCACTCGTATGGAATGTAAAAAAGTCAATCCTATAGCAGTTGAGAGAAGAAGGGTGATTACCTGAGGCTGTAGGAGTAGAGAGGATGCATGGATAGATGTATGGATGGGGAAAGGTTGATCAGTAGGTACCAAGTTACAGATAGAAATAAGTTGTTCTTTATGCCTTTGTACAGTATCTACTGATTATAGATAATAGTTATGTACCCTGCATCTCAAAATTCTAGAAGAAAGGATTTTTGAATGTTTTACTATAAAGAAATTTTAAAAGTTTCAGGAGATAGCTATGTTTACACTGATTTAAACATTTTACAATGTGTACATGTTTTGAAACATCACGTTATCACATTCACAGTCAGTTTTTATGTATTGATTATAATAAATCTAATTTTAAGAAGAAGCTAAATGTAATGATGGACACCTGAGACAAGAAGGGTCACTTGAGTCTGGATTTAAGGCCATATTAGGAAACACAGTAAGACCCTGTCTCAAAAACCAAAAACAACGAAAAAGCAGTTAGAATGAAAGGGTCAAATACAAAGCAGTAAAAATATAGATCAAGTTGACAGTGCCACCTTCTTCCGAAGGTAGTAGTGTACTTTTGTCATGCAGTGATTACCGTGCCTGGAAAAGTATGGCTGAGCTGCTACTCTTTCATTTAATAATCTAGGTTCTTAATTTTTACAGAATTATCAGTTTTACTTCTGGAACCCTGTGTTCGTCTGTTTCAGTCTATAGCTCTTCCATGCATCTGACCTCCAGTATCTATATTTCTCACCTGGGTGCAGTTCACTATGTCCTGAATTCATTAGTCTCTTTCAAAATTTACTTTTCTTCATTGCACTTTTTGTAACAATATTCCTGTTAACTAATCTGCTCTTGTCACCAAATCGTGAGTCCTTCCAGTTCCGTTTCTGTAGGGAACAGAATCTCTGGTCACTTAGCTGGCAGGGTCAGGAAGCTGATATTCCACATGTGGAATAGAAAGGAAAATGTGGAATCTTTGTATTAGAGACTTGGATTAGTGATTATCCTTTTCCTTCCGCCCCTTACCAACTGTACCTCCACCTACACCACTTTGCAGCTCTGCTTTGGTTCACCCGCTCAGTTTATCCACAAAGCACCTCCTCAAGTCTTTCTTTGCTAGAATGGTTCCCACTTCCCCATCTGCTTCCATATTGTAAAATTTTACTGACATCTCTTGTCCATTGCTTATCAGGGACCTAGCCTAGATTCCGAATCTCCAAAATGAGTGTACAGCGAAGGCTTAAAATAAATGAGATAAGTGGTGTAAGTAGGGCTCCAAGAATATCAAAGCCCTTCTGTGGAGTTTGAGACCCTGAGGGCTGAGACAGGGGATGTCTCTAGGTAGCCTGTATTTACTTAGGGGGTTAGAATGGAAAATGCAGGAGATTGAACAGACCTTGGAAGTGGTTCAAGGACTTTGCCAAATAACAAATTATGTCTAATTTTGTAGAATTATCTTATGAGAAGATCTCCATGTTGCATTTCACAGGAATGAAATGCCTGCAGCTACCGTCTTTATTTAGTTAATTGGAGTTGGAACCCGCTGTCCTCAGCCATTATCTTATCTTGCCCCAGCCATGTAGCAGCCTTGCACATGTGTTCAATCTCCAATTTCAACGGATTCCAACAATTGCTCTTTTTTTCTGTCCTTTTGTGTGTGTGTGGTTTATATTTTTCAATCATTTTCTAGCATTTTAATGGAGATTTATGAGAAAAAATAAATTTGTTTCATCTCCTACTTATAATAATGGAGAGCCTTCCAAAGTATAAAATAAGGAAGGGCTGGTGCTTTAGCTCAGTGGCTTACGTGTCTGTTTGGCAAGCACAAGGTTGTGAGTTCAATCCCTAATACCAGAAAAAAACAAAGACAAAATATATTTTCAAAAGCATTTTCATAATCTGAAGCTATATATTATTTTCAAAGCTTAAAAAAGTTTAAAAAATAACCATTGATGCTCTTTTAAGTTAGACAGATTATTATTTTTTATCAGTCACTTGTACAACATGCCTGACACCCATAACTTCAAGTTCAGAAGAGGTTTGTTGAGACTCGTGGTCTCAGAGGATATATAGCACATAGTTAGCTGGCTCTGAAGCAAATGGCATGGTAAAAAGGCAGGGGAGAAGAAAGCTGCTCAAGCACTGGAAGCCAGGAAGCAGAGAGAGGGAGCAGAGCCAGAGAGAGACGTCTTCAGACAAACTCCACTGACCCACCTCCTCCAGCATGTTAAGTCACCACCTCCTTAGTGTTGGTGACTCAAGTGTACTGTCATCATAACACAGTCAGCTTCCGAAAACCTACCTCTGAACATAGAGACTTTGGGTGGGGGGACATTTGAGATCTAAAGCATAACAGATTTCAAAATAACTTTGTGACTTTTTAGTTTAAAATAGTTTCATATTTTCAGATAAATCCCATAGTAAACAAAGTTAAACTTTTTTTAAAAACTCATCAAAATTTAATTAGTCAAGTGATAGACTACAAATTATCCCCTTAATCTGTTTTTCCTTAAATCAGTGTAGAAATTTAAAGGTTTTCTTTGTGTTGATTTTATACGTTTGAGATGTATAAAAATTTTAACATAGTCTCGAATACAATTTTGCATGTCTTTCAAAACATTTTCAATAATGCATTTAAAATTTTTCTACCATGTAGAGTAAAATGAGAATATTAGCATTTAAATAGAGATCTGGGTACTTCGACTAATGTGGATCTAACTGGATAAGGAACAAAGTATAAATCTTTGCCCAGAGATTAAAAACTATTGAATGAAATTAATCATTGTTTTTTAGCCTATCAAATTCCTGTTCTAATTACATTGGTGTTTTTCAGTATTAGCACTTGATATTAGGGGAGAGTTGGAGACTACTAGCTACAGTTAAGTATTTGTTGTTATTGTTTTCTTTGAGGGGGGAGACGATTTTTCGTTTTTTAAGAGAGCAGAAAATATTGATTAAAATAGTTGTGGAAAAATCACTACAAGTAAAGTGGAACCAGCAACAACCTAATAGGTTTTTTGAATTTTCCGTATATTTTATTATCAGATGGAGATATTAGAAGTATCCTTAAATGGCGTGAGAAAAATAATAAGTGAAGTTTATAATAAAATATTTCAGAAATCTGATCTCTATGAACTTACAAAATGAGGGACGGGAGCATAATAAAAGCAAGAAGTTGACAAATGACAAATGTGTACAAGATTATTGATTTGCATATGCAAATTAGAGTAATTTCATGTACACTTAAGTGGCTAGATGTACAATTACCTGATTTATAAACATGAATGGTGCAGGTGCTGCATTAAAGGCACTTTCCGAAAATTGGCTTATAACATCAATACTTTGTGCTGCAAAGTAACTGCTAATTACACCTCTTATCATAAGAAAGCCCAAATAAATTATTTTGCATGAGTATATCCAAAGAACAGCCCAAAATGGGGTGATGTTATCCAGAGAGTCACACTATCAAAGACTTCCAGTGTAAGGGCACATAAACAAAGTGTGTTGGTTGAGTGTAACTGAGCAGTGTATGCCAGCCCTCTCTATAAATCTGGCATGTGGTAAAGACTATATCAACCTCTGAGATTTTCAACATGATGACTTTTTACCAAGACAAATCATTGTGCTTGTATTTCAACCCTGAATTCAAATCCTAGGGATAATATTTTCCCACGTCTGGTAGGCAATCTTTTTAGTCATTTTAATTTTTTTCACATTGAATGTGATTTTTCTCTTTCTTG